CTTCACAGGGGAGGTGTTCCATCCCCCTGATCATTTTTGTGGCCCTCTTCTGGACCCACTCCAACAGGTCTGTGTCTTTCTTGTGCTGAGGGCTCCAGAGCTGGATGCAGTACTCCAGGTGGGGTCTCACCAGAGTGGAGTAGAGGGGCAGAATCACCTCCCTCGACCTGCTGGCCACACTTCTTGTGATGCAGCCCAGGATATGATTGGTCTTCTGGGCTGCGAGCGCACATTGCTGGCTCATGCCCAGCTTTTCCTCCACCAGTACCCCCAAGTCCTTCTCGGCAGGGCTGCTCTCAATCCCTTCATCCCCCAGCCTGTATTGATACCACAACCCAGGTGCAGGACCTTGCACTTGGCCTTGTTAAACCTCATGAGGTTCACACAGGCCCACTTATCGAGCTTGTCCCGGCCCCTCTGGATGGCATCCTGTCCCTCTGGCATGTCAACCGCACCATTCAGCTTGGTGTCATCTGCAAACTTGCTGAGGGTGCGCTCAATGCCACTGTCTATGTCATTGATGAAGATAGTAAACAGTACTGGTCCCAGTATGGACCCCTGCGAGACGCCACTTGTCACCAACCTCTATCTGGTCATTGAGCCATTGACCACTACCCTCTGGATGTGACCATCTAACCAATTCCTCACCCACCAGACAGTCCACCTATCAAATCCATACCTCTCCAGTTTAGAGAGAAGGATGTTGTGGGGGACCATGTCAAAAGCCTTACAGAGGTCCAGATAAATGACATCTGTAGCCCTTCCCATGTCCACTGATGTAGTCACTCCATCATAGAAGGCCACTAGGTTAGTCAGGCAGGACTTGCCCTTGGTGAAGTCATGCTGGCTGTCTCGAATCACCTCCCTGTCCTCCATGTGCTTTAGCATGCTCACTTCTTCCAGGAGGATCTGTTCCATGATCTTCCCAGGCACAGAGGTGAGACTGACTGGCCTGTAGTTCCCTGAGTCTTCCTTTTTTCCTTTTTAAAAATGGGGGTTATGTTGCCCCTTTTCCAGTCAGTGGGAACTTCACC